TTGTTGATTAAAAAATGTTCAACAAAAGCATAAGCTTCTTTCTCTCTAATTGTCGAGAGCTCTGAAAAGAACAAGAACACGTAACGATAAGTTCATTAATCTGGACTGGGCGGGACTGTCATAAAACGGACAAGTTTTCGCGGTGTCGCAATTCGGTGCACTCTCGAGGATGATTTCTTACTTGGTAATCAAAGTTCCGTATAAATCTTTGCAATCGTTAAAGTTTCACACTTCTATCGACATAAATTTATTGGTTATTTTGGCGGCAGACTGTTTAAAAAAAAAAATCAACTACCTCCGACTTCTTGTGGATATACTGTGTCCTAGAAGGTCAGAGAACGGTAGTATAAGAACGTATAGGCTGTGTCCCACTAAGCCCGGATTGGCTGAGACAGACAAGATTGAAACAGCTCTACTCAGATTATGTGGACGAGCGTCTGTGGTGTAGCGGTTAGACGCTTTGCTGTTGCACGCAGAACATCCGAGTTCGATTCCCGAGTGGGGAAATTTTTTATCGAATGCACTCCCTCTCCGCTTGAATGTTTTATCCTTCTCAGCCCGGGTTGGCCCCGACAGGCAGGGTCGGAAAACTACCTCCTAAATGCTGTATTTTGCGTTGATGGGGGTGTAACGTCACCAACATTTAAAAAAAGTTAATTCTCACATTGAGTAGATGGGAGGGTGAATCATTTAAAGCAAGCCATGCTTGACGCACATTCATGCGGACTAGGAACGTCTTGTTGAAATTGGACATTACTTTAGTAACTTTTATCATCGGATTGGCTTGAAAGGGTGCGTTGACCGAACCAATAACATTATGCTACGTTAGAATTACAAAGTTTTGTCTGACATGTTTGACCGTTTTGAGTGACTACGACCGTAAGGTAGGAAACCATGTTTTATCTGCTCTATCACAATCGTACGATTTTTCAGAGTCGTCATAAAGATATTCAAAGAATTGCATTAGAAAAAAGCTTAACATGTTGTGAAACTCAAAATATTAAGCGTGAAATTTCTCAAAGCTAGGTACTGAACAGACAGAACTTTGCAATTCTTAGGTAGCAAAATTAGTAGTAGAACTCTTTAGTAGTTGAACCCCCTCCGAGTAGTCCTAGCCCCCCGCCCCCCCCCTCCCCAACATAAACAACATAAAGTCAACTCTGCTCTAATGATCACCTTTAAAAGGCAATTACCTGTACAAACGGCCACTTCCCATTTACTCCCGTGTGTATTTTTAGTTGTTGGTACATTATAATGACATCGTGTAAGACACCTACGCTGTCTAAGACAACTACTTTTCATCTCGAGAGTGATGGTCGTCTTACACAGTTTCGACTGTTTATCCAAAAAGACTGTTCATGAAGGGATAGCTTCAACGGAAAGAGAGAGAGAGAGAGAGAGAGAGAGAGAGAGAGAGAGAGAGAGAGAGAGAGAGAGAGAGAGAGAGAGAGAGAGAGGGGGGGGGGGGACTTCTTTTACTAGCATATTCATGAACGAGACTAAAATGGAGAACTTCTCGTCATTCTTAAACACACACACACATAAATAAACAAACACACACACACAAACAAACAAACAAACACACACACACACACGCGTGATCTCTGACCCCACATTCTAACGCTTACATGTGATCCCTGAATCGTCTATCTAACCTTAACTGACATAGGGAATTAATGAAGTCAGGCTTGGAGATTATCATGATAACTTTTTTAGCGCTATCACTGCCAAACACGAGGGAAAAGAGACACGGTTTGTTTGTTTGATCGCGAGTTTGGTTTTGTTAAGAGGAAGAGGAGCACATTGACACGATAACGACCATTCAATCTAGCGAACAATCACGAAAGTTTTTTAAACAATATATTCCACAGTTTAGTTCTAACAAGAGTTTTATGGCACCTGCAACACAAATCTAGAAAAGTTGAAAGACATGGAATAACATCAAGAGGCTGGCATGGGGCAGACAAAGGTGGAAAGGCGGCCTATACCCTGACCCGGGCTGAGAACGGCAGTGACGATGATGAACACAACTCCAAGTAATAAAAATGCCGAAGGTTAGAAGTGTCTCTAGTCACTAAAGAGTAGCATACTACGAAAAGAAGGAGTAGAGGTAATGATAAGAGATATTTGAACCGAAAGAAGGAGCAAACCACACCAGGGCACCCGTCAATCACTCATGGGGGATATTGTTTGTTTTGTTTAGTAGAGGTTTTACGGCGCTCGCAACTGCATAAGGTGATATGAGCGTCAGAAGATAAGAGGTGTTACAAGAGAGTAACAAAAATTAAAAAAGAAGGAGGGGAGATAAGGACGATAGATTTTTGATAGGAAAGAAGAAGCAAACCACACCAGAGCACCCGCCAACTACCCACATGGGGGGATATGGAGTTGTTGCAAGACCAAATAAATCACAGAAGACGTGTGTAAATAAAAACCATAAAACGATAGCTTAAAGAAGAGACTTAAAACCATAAAACGATGGCTTAAAGAAGAGACTTAAAACCATAAAACGATGACTTAAAGAAGAGACTTACTACAATTCAATAACAATTTCGATTTTAATCTTCTGATTCCCTTGCTTTCGGAATAAAAATTGTGTCAGCCTGTTCTGAGAGCAACGACAGCCAACGACAAAATATACAACACTTCAGTAGATGTCGTTTGTCCAATTGCAGGGCTTACTCATACTAAAGTTAACAACTGATAAGAAAGAAATATAACGTATTATCAGACAGGCAAAGAGGAAGCTACAAAAATAAGCATGAATCACCATCCCTCCTCAACCACCCCACAACAACATGGTAAAGCAGAAAAACGAAAACACAAGCTTAGAAACATCGAAAACAAAACCACAATCAGGAAAGAGGAAAAAGGAAGTCCAGAAACCATCTGAGTGAAGAGATCAGACTGACATAACATCGCAATGTACTTTTTTTTCACTTCGCCCAGTCCTCTTCCTCGTTTTCCTCCTCCTCCGCCTCCTCCTTCTCCTTCATCTTCTTCTTCTTCTTCTTCTTCTTTTTCTTCTTCTTCTTCTTCTTCTTCTTCTTCTTCTTCTTCTTCTTCTTCTTCTTCTCAATCTCCTCCTCCTTCTCCTCCTCCTTTTCCTTCTTCTTCTTCTTTTCCTCCTCCTTCTTCTACTATTGCTCTAAACACACAATCAAAATCACAGATCTATGCACATCTGTGTATACAAATGTACTTTCTGTGCCCCGGCACAATATGGCGCACAGTGTGTTATTGATACCGCATTAAAGGAATGGCTAATCGATAAGAGCCGGTTAAGCTATATCAGTGGCCCATCGCGCACAAGTGCATTTCCATTGATTTAGACGAGCTCCACCCGATCTCAAAAGTGGGCGCATTTCTTTCTGTAAGGCATTCGTATTCACATAAATTACTGCGTACTTCTTGTTCCTATTGGTGTGCTTGCAGCTGGTGCAGTTGTCACTGTTGCTGTAGTTGTAGTTGTTATTATTGTCTTTTTTTTTGGGGGGGGGGGGGGGTAAGTGTTTTACGGCGCTCGCAACTGCACAAGGTGATATTATTATAAGCGTGCAGACACATTTAGCATTTTCAGTTGGTAAGAAATTCTGAACTTGTTTTTGTAGTTTCAGTTGTTAATATATGTTATTGTTGTCGTTTTCGTTGTAGTTGTTATTGTTGTTTTCATTTTAGTTGCACTTATCATTATCGTTGTAACAGAAATGAAGGCACCAGTACACCTTTGTGTGGTGGTTCTGTATCAGAAGCAATCATTTTACTCTAAGGTCGAAATAAATTCTCATTTCTTTTCCTTTTGGGGCGGCCCATAACAATAACCTCTATCTAAGCGCAACCGCTCATACACAGGAACCAGGCTTCAAAGTGTCCAATGATATTTTAGGAGTTTATATTTTGTGGGACCATAGGCTCTACTCTAGGCTGTAAAATTTAGACAGTTGACCTGTTTGAGTAAAGAAACACATCGACACGATGACGCCCATTTAGTGTAAGGGAACACAACAGAAAAGTTAGCAGAAGCATTAGAAGCAAAGAAAGAAGACTACAAAAGGCAGAAGCAATACAAGGAAAGGATGAAGACTTCATAGGACCCACCAGCGGCATCCTCCACCCACTCGAGGCGAGCTGACCTGGACATGTGTTGGTCGCTTTTAAGGACAAGCAGGCTAACCCAGGTTTCGGGGGTTTCCAGAAATCTCGACCTACACCAAAAGTGGGCATTGCCCTACCTATAGGAGAAGTTCGGTTTCATTGGTGTGTATATTTGTTTCGTTATAGAAAAAACTCTCCTTGTCTTCTAAAGAAACTGAACACGAGGCAAAAACTTTACCTCCGATTTTCTCTAAACAGCATTTTTCGGGATAGCCCCCTTGTGCTTAAAAGCCACCAGTTATGCTGATTGATGACCGCCGTGCGAGATGCAGCACACAAACTGCACTTCAACGACAATGCACGTCAACCACTACGATGTCCCCCCACTCCCCCCGTGACCGAAACGACAGGAAAAACATGGCAAGGGACACGACGAAGCACGCCCCAATACACGGCCGAGTACATACAGCCTTCCTTGTCGCACTTGTGCGAGTGAAACCAAAGAGGTTTACAGTAACACTCAACACTTCCCCATTCACAATCCCACCATCCCGTCCCCTTATGCAACTTCATACGACTGCTTCTACCACAGAAGGAGACACACCCCCTAGTGAAAGCCAGGCATAGCTCTGGTTGGTGACACTACAGTTCGGTAACGGATATACTTCACCAGGAGCAAAATACGATAGCAGAAAACTTTAAAGAATTAGAAGGAACAGAGCACAACAAAACCGGTTATATGTAAACAAACTAAAAAAAACAACAACAACAAAAAACAAACAAACAAAACACAAACAAACAAACAAACAAACAAACAGCCATACAACCAGCCAACTAACCAACCAATCACCCCCCCCTCCAAAAAAAAAGAACTAAAACATTACGTACATACCCTTACATTCAATGAGGTCCCAAATTAACAGTGTCCCGACAACGATCAGAAATAAAACGTCCACAACTCGTCACAGGTAAGCTCTATATTTTGAAATGATTTTATGAGCAAAAAAAAGTCCTTGTCATCTTCGCCTCCGAGTTGAGTGTCAAGATGTGAACATCCAGGAACACTTACCACTATTACAGCTTGAATGACGAGCGTGATCTCAGCCACTTTGCTAAAGGTGTGACTCATGTATTAATATTACATTGTGTATTGCCTTTACACGCGAACAAGGAGAACATACGGTGTGTATCTCTCGGACTGAATTGCCTCTCAAGGCGTGAAAGGAAAAGTACAGTACAGGATTTCCCTATAAACGAATTCTTCCGCGGAAACCACTTCAAAACACATGTGACGTTCTATTCTCTTCTTCTCAACTAAGGCGGATCTCAACATTAAGTCCAAAAAAGGATGAAGTGGCCTAGCGAGGGAATTAATAATAGAGCAGGGGTGGAGATCATTGTCGTCGTATACATAATTTACTATCACTCACGATGAGATGAACAATTTCTGTTCTATTTCTGGTGTTGTTGAAGCAGCATGTTCTTTTCGCTATATATACACTGTATATAGGCTAGGTTATGTTGAAAGCTGTGTTTTCGCCTCCCCCTCCCCTCCAAAACCACTCCCAGGCAAACCGCAAGGCACAGGGTAAGTAATGTCGTATACTTATGTTTGAGTAAAAAGATGCATATCACTACAACAGCAGCCATTTTGTGCGGGGAAAAAGAAAAGCAGACAGACAGGAACAGTAAAAGGAAGGAAGAGGAGTAGGAGGACCAAGTAGTGGCGCCCTCCAACCACCTGTCTGTTTAGTCTGAACAACACGAAGCACACCGACACAAAAAGTGTCTTGTGATGTTAAGGAAAACAAGAAGGACGTACAAAATGGTGAAGTAATCGCAGATGCTCTATTCCCACTCTCGACACTATTTACATCATTTAGGAGGCGGACTCCTTCGATCCTGAATGTTGGGGCGAATCCTGGTTGAGAAGGATACAACATCTTTGAGAGGCGTCCTCCAACCACCGCGCCTATCAAGGCGAAAGCTATCTCGTATCATTCACAAAACGACTTCTCATCGATACACAGACATGACCGAAAAAAACAACAACAACAAACAAGCCTTTCCTCAGCCCAAGAAGAAGTAAGACAAATAGGGAGAGGAAAGCAGGGAAAAAACGGGGGGGGGGGGGGGGGGGGG